ATGCAGACCATGTTTGGGGGGATGGTAAGGAGAGTTGGATGGGGGAAAGCCAGGAAGGTTTTCTTCAAACCATTTGTATGCTAGTAAGTATTTAACAACCAGCTCTTTGAAAAAAAAAGTATGTTGTAGAGAGGATCTTTCTCCAGTATGTGCTAGATGAGGTAGCCCCTGGGATCAATTTACAGAATAAAAGAATGAAGATTTGAAAAAAAGAGACGTGGAGGCCACTTAGTTGAACCCATACCCACCCAAAAGGAAATCCTTACCATAACATACTGGGCCAGTAGTCACCCATCTTCAACTTGAAAATCTATGAGGAAAGAGATCCCACTCCCTTTCCAGAATGCCCAGTTCATTTTTGGTCAGCTTTCAGTGTTAGGATTCTTTGCCTTTCTCCCCTTTAGTCTGTTAACCTGAAAGTTTGGTTAAAGAAGGCAAACAAGTTAGGTGATACGTGATTATATAGTTTATTCCCTTTTAGCTAGCGAATCATGTTAACATGGAAGCCAGAATGTGATTCTGACTCAGAGATTAAGCAAAATGAGAGAGGTTTTATACACTTGAGAGTGATCAAACTCAGGATGTCTGTGTTACAAAAAATACAGCCTCCATATGTTTGTTTAACATATAGCATGGGAAAGGAATTCTCTTAATTGAATAGGTTGTAAATACAATAAAATAGGAGAATGTAAAAGTGTCAATTGAAATTATAGACCAAGATAAGAAAAGTCCCATTGTTCAAGAGAGTGTCTGGTCCCAGACATCCTGGGCTTAGTGATAAGAACAGGAAGAATGCTGGTCAGTTCCATCTGGTCCTGGAATTTGCTGACACAGGAAGGGGTGTTTTTAGTTCACTCAGAGAGAAAAAGATTAATTCAGGTTTTTGGCCCTTATTGGGGCTCAATTGATCTTAAATGATTATCTAGTCCTAGTTTTGTCTTCTGGGACTACAGAATAAATCTAATCTCTTCTTCACAGGAGAGTCCTTCAAATCCCTTGAAGAAGAGTTATCAATTTTCCCTCTGAATCTCATATGCTTCAAGCTAAACATGCTCCATTCCTTGTTTAATCCTTATATGACCATCCAATTCAACAAGCATTTTTTCTTCAGTATTTTTTTGGGTCTCCTTTAGCAAGCTGTTGACTTGTTTTTCATGATTTTCTTGCATCACTCTCATTTCTCTTCCCAGTTTTTCCTCTACTTCCCTTACTTGCTTCTCAAAATCCCTTCTGAGCTCTTCCAAGGCCTGGGACTGATTCATATTTTTCTTGGAGGCTTTGGATGTAGGAGCTTTGATTTTGTTGGCTTCTTCTGGTTGTATATTTTGATCTTCTTTTTCACCAAAGTAAGATAATATAGTCTGACTTTTTTTGCGCTGCTTGCTCATGTTACCAGCAAATTACTTGAGTTTTAAACTCTTTGTTAAGGTAAGAGTCTGCTTCCAATGTGGAGAGTGTAGTGTCCCAAGCTTCAGGGGTTTGTGTAGCTGTTTTCAGAGATACTTGTAGGGACCTGTAAATTTTCAGTTCTGCCAAGGTGGTATGATAAGGGGCGAGGTGTTTACTCCTTTCCTGGCCTGTGACCACAAGTATTCCTTTCTGTCCTGTAACTGTGAGGAGGGGTTCTTCTCCACAGCCACTACAAGCTCCACCATGCCAGCGCTCCTCCTCACCCCAGCACTGCTGCCCAGAACTGTGACCCTGATCCACACACGGGCAAAGCAAGAGATTCCTGCCTCAGCACTGGCAAAGAGATCCCTGCAGTTCCTCTCTGCTCAGCCACTGGATTCCCCCTCAGTCTGTGGGCAGGAAGCTCAGGAAGCAGCTGCCCCCCCCAGGGCCACGCTCTTGGGGAATGGAGCTGACACCCCTCCTTCCTCTCTGACCACTGACAGAAACAGACTTTTCCCACTGACCTTCTAAGTTGTCTTTGGCATTCGTGGATTGAGGAGTCTGGAAACCTCCACAGCTGCCCGCGATTCAGTCTTCTGAGGCCTGCTCCAGGTTTGCTGCGGCCTGCGCACCCACACTGCGCTGCGCTGTGCTCCCAGCCCAGCACGATACACCTTTCTGATCAATCATCCAGGTTGTCTTGGGCTGGAAATTTGTTTCACTCTGTCTTTTTGTGGGTTCTGCTGCTTCAGATTTTGTTTAGAGCTATTTTTTATGAGTATTTGGGGGGGTGTGGGGGAGAGCTCAAGCAAATCACTGCTTTCACTCCACCCTCTTGGCTCCGCCCCCTCAACAAGCATTTTTTAAAAGTTATTTTTGAAGACTAGGTTTCTCTCTCCTCTTGGGACAAGGTATCACCATAGTGTGTAGAATGCCAGGTTTGGTGTCAGAAGACTCTTCTTCCTGAGTTCAAATATAGCTTTGGACACTTACTAGCTGTGTGACCCTGGGCAAGTCACTGAGCCCTGTTTGCCTCAGTTTCCTTATCTGTAAAATGAGCTGGAAAAGGAAATGGCAAACCACTCCAGTATCTTTGCCAAGAAAACCCCAAATAGGGTCACGAGGAGTTATAGACATGACTGAAAAAGTGACTGAGCTGAACTCTCCATCCTGTCACCCAGGTGGGAAGTGCAATGACCACTTTGAGCTGTTCCATTTCTCACCTGGGCTGTTCTCTCCTTAGACAACCTGGTGGCTCCCTTTTTCCAGGGACTCACCATATTAATTCCAACCATTGTAGCTCAGAACTCAAGAGATCAACCAGCTTCAGTCTCCCCAGTAGCAGGGATTATAGGCTTGCACTACCACATCCAGTTTAACAAGATTAAGCACAGACTTTGTGTCAGGCACATGCTAGGTATTGGGAAGTCAAAGACAAAAACAAACAATCCCTACACTCAAGAAGTTTACATTTTCCTGAAGGAATTTACCTCACTTGGTAATCTCAACAGATCTCATAATGATTTTCAGAACTGTATATCCAGCCCTAGCTTCTTTCCTCAGCTCTAGTTCAGAGTCACCAAGTGCCTTCTGGACAGTTCCAATTGTTGTCTCATAGGCACCTCAAATTCAATGTATCCATAACAGAACTCATTATCTTTACCTTCTAAAGTTCCCCTCATCCTAACTTCAGTGTTATTATGGAGGGCATCTCCGTCCTCCCAGTCACCCAGGTTGACAATCTTAGCATCATCCTAGACTCTACCCTTTTGCTCTCCCCATATATCCAATCCATTGTCAAATATTTTCATTTCTACCTAAACACCTTTCCCCCATGCATAGAGCCACAATCTTACCTGTCCTTCTTTTCCATTTAACCTTCTAAGTAAGTGATCTCTCTGACTCTAGTCTCTCTCTACACTCAATTTATCATTCATGCATCTGTCAAGATGATTTTTCTACCTTTGCTGTTAAGTTGTTTTTTAGTCATGTCTGACTCTCTGACTCTCCATGACCCCATTTGTAGTTTTCTTGGCAGAGATACTGGTGTGGTTTGCCATTTCCTTCTCCAGCTCATTTTATAGGTGAGGAACTAAGGCAAACAAGGTTAAGTGACTTGCCCAGGGTCACACAGCTAGGAAGTATCTGAGGACAGATTTGAATTTACTAAATTGAGTCTTCCTGACTTTAGGCCCAGTGCTCTATTCACTGCACTACCTAGCTGCCCCTTTTCTACTTTCGCTTAGATCTGTCTAACTATGTCTTTCTCCTGCTCAATGAGCTTGAATGTTCCTTATTATTTCCATAATAAAAACATAGACTCCTATATGGCTTTTAGAGCTCTTCATAAACTGGCTTCTTCCTGCTTTTCCAGTCTTCTTACATTTTGCTCCCCTCCAGAAAATCTATGAACCAGCAATGATGGCCCTTTTCAGTTCATTGAAAACAACACTTCATTTCCTGTCTCCTTTGCACTGCGATCCCTCTTATCTGAAGTGCTCTGCCCTTTCACTTCTGCCTTTTAGCTTCCCTGGCTTTGTTTAAGATTCAACTCAGATCCTACCTTCTGCAGAAGGTTTTTCCCAGTCCTCCCAGTTACTAATACCTTTCCCTATCAGATTTCCTTCCATCTATTCTGTATATATCTTGATTATTTACATGCTATCCCCTACCTTGAAATCAGGGACTGTTTTTTGCCTGTTTTTGTATCCCAGCATTTAGTACAGTGCTAGGGCACATGGTAAACCCTTAAAAAATGCTGATTTACAGACAAACTCAGGGATTGTAAAGCAAGGACACCTTCAGAGCAAGGAGAGTTGTCTTTTCATCTCCTTCCCTGACTTCTGTTAAACGTATTTAACAGGTTAAGGAGGCAGGTTCTTTCAGGAAGCAGCATGGCTCTGTGTCTTCATCTGGCAGTTAAAGAATGTTGGTTTGTGCTTGACCTAGAAATCTGGAAATCTGTGGGAAAAGGGGGAGAAACAGCCACTGGGTCTGTCGTAGAAAAACCAACATTGAACACAGAGGCTCAGCCTGAGCCTGAATTCAGCTTAGTGTTTAGTGGCTACCTGCCTGCCTGCTGTTGCTGGTGTCTAGAAAAGGGAGATGAAGTTCTCACAAAGGGTGGAAGGTATAGAAGGACTTCAGGTGGAGTCAGGACCCTGCCGAGGCCAAAGCTTCCTTGGATTTCTGTTCCTGGATTGCTCTTGGTGCAATCCCCTTCTTTCTGACTGAATTGACACAGTTGTGCCTGACTTTTCTGGCAAGGAACTGGGTGACTTTTTCCAAAAGATGTTTCAGACTGTTAATTCACAGCTTCTCCATGTCTAATCAAGGAAAGCAATCCATTAGATACGTATTCTCCATTTCCAGCCAGGTTGTGAGTGTGTGTGTGTGTTTTCCACACTTAAATGGAAACACATACGAATAAGAGCCGTGTGTACAAATCCCCTCTGCCAGCCTATGTGGGAAAGTAATGAATGGGGGCCGTTCTGTGTCAGGAGGCATGACCAATTCTGGAGGAAGGATGCTGTCACTCTGGCATCCCAGCAGCTTTATTTATGATGCGCCAAAGTATAAAACCACAGGGCTGGCTGGAGCCTGGTTCTCCAGCCCTAGTGATCGCCTGCAGGGACCACGCAAACAGAAGCCTCCAGAGAGGTCGTCTTCTCCAGGGTGCTTGAAGTCTATTTTTGAGAACTATGGCAGGGAAAGACCTCCTCCATTGGCACCTGCTGGCTTTGCTTCTCCTCCCTTTTTGCCTGGGTCAAGATGAATACATGGAGGTGAGCGGAAGAGCTAATAAAGCGGTGGCAAGAATAGTGCAAAGCCACCACCAGACTGGCAGGAGGGAAAAAGTGAGAGAGCGGAGCCATCATATAGCGGGGACTGTGGATAATAACACGTCTACAGACCCAAAGTCCCTGAGGCCAGAGGTTCTGTCGCACCCTGAGTTTAATGATCTGGCCCAGATCACCTCATACAGGGTCCAGGTACTCTGAATTCCTCTTCTAAGCCTAACTTTGAAGCTTAATGAGGTTAATAACTCTGTTTATGTTAACTTTATTTATGTTAATAACTTTAACATCTTTTTTTTTTAATATGCATTATTTCAGCAGAGGCTGCTAGGCATTCTATTTTTAAAAGTGTTTCCTAAGCTGCTTGTGGGGATGGGAGGTGGCTTGGTGGGGAGGCTGGCATCAGTTAGAGCACCAACAGGGTGGTAGTAATGTGGTTTGACAAATGGTCAATTCACTGGGATGGGAAGGATTTGGTATAGAATAGCCTTATTTTGTAGAAGGCAGCTAGCTCATTGCTCTGCTTATCTATCTAATCTATCTAATCTATCTAATCTATCTAATCTATCTAATCTATCTATCTATCTATCTATCTATCTATCTATCTATCTATCTATCTATCTATCTATATCTAATCTCTCTCTCTCTCTCTCTCTCTCTCTCTCTCTCTCTCTCTCTCTCTCTCTGTCTGTCTCTCTCTCTCTCTCTCTCCCTCTCTCCAATCCTGTATCTGATCTGGATGTTTGTGCAGAAAGGGGGAATTGTCAATACCTGCAGACAGATAAAACATTCAAGGTAATTCTAAGAAAGACTTTCTTAAAACAGTAGTGGGGGAAAGCTCTCCACTCTGAGTTTATAAAAAAAAAAAAAGATTGCATGTAATACCGTGTATCTTATGGTGACTACTTCCCTAGGTAATTTGATGTATATGTAGACCACTGAACCTCAGTGCCTATTTTGTTTGGAAAGTAGCAAGTTAAAAATGAGGGCTATTTATGTACATGTCCCAAGTACCGCCTTAGAGACCTGAATTGGCATCTGACTCAAACTGATCCTTGTGAAGGACTTTTCTTCTTTAGAATCCCTGCCCCTCAGAAAACTGCTCTGACACTTTTGGGTCAAGAAAGCATTGCCCCCTTTTGGGGGGTAGAACTCCAATGGACTGGACTCAGGTGACATTGATGATGTCATTTGGAATCCCAATGCTAGGAAAAACCACCTTTGAATTAACTGGGGCATATGCTATTTTCATTAAAGAAAAACTAGTCAATGCCTCTTTGTATCCCCAGTGCTAAGCATAGTGTCTGACACGCAGTAGGTACTTTATAATCACTTATTTGTGATTGATTATAGGTAGTAGGCTATAGTGAGAAGGCTGAGGATTAAAGGTCAAGAATAGTTATTTCCATTTATGAGCCATTTTCCACAAAATGGCTAACCAACTTTTACCAGAGAAATGCCCTGTTCTATTCACTCAATAGCAGCACATAGGAAGAAAATACAAATTTATTAAGCACCTACTATGTGCCAGGCAGTACACTAAGTACTTTACAACTATCTCATTTGATCTTCACCACAAGTTAGGGTATGGGGGAGAGGGTCATAGTTATTTGTGGTCTTTAAGTCCAGGAATAACTGGTCCTACAGTTTATAACCTGTCTCCAGTTATGGAATTAGCTGGGTATGCACCAGATCTCCAGGGTTGTATAGTATAGTGAAGCAGAAATGCACTTGAGATTTCACCAGCCTGGCTGTTGCAGTTTGTCACGTAGTAATTAATTAGTATTGTCAGCCCACATCTACCTCACTCTGTCTCTGGAAGCTCAAGCTGTTCTTGACAGACCAGAACTAATAAAAAGGAACCTGTCACCTCAAGGGCAAAGCCTACATCAAGCCACAGAGAAAGGGTGAAATGGATTAGCCAGTAATTAAAAACTACAACAAGCAGGTGTTAAACTTGAGAGATGAAACTTCAGCTTTCTGAATTCTTGGCAGAGCATGGGATAGCACAGAAAGCTCTGGGTTTGGAATTCATGAAGTTATACAGTTACAGCTGAGAGGGAATCTTGGAGGGCCTTCTGGTTCAATCCCCTTGATCTTCAGATGAGGAAATTCAGGCTTGACTGGGTGCCCAAAGTCACATAGGTAGTAAGTATCAGAAGTGGGATTTGAACTTAGATGCTCTGATTCCCAAACCAATGATCTTTCCATTACTGGAGAACCTGGATTTGAATGCCACTCTTTACTACCAGGGTGATTTAGGCAAATGGCTCCACTTGGTGTTCCATTTTCCTCACCTATAAAATGAAAAGGTTGAACTAGAAGATGACCTCCGAGATTCCTTCAAATTCAGTCACCTATGTGGCTAAGGCAGAGAAATCCCCTGTTTCCCTAAATGACCCAGAAAAGCAGCCAAGCACCCACCAAAAATAAGAGCTGTAATTGACCGTGTGAATAGCTAGGAAAGGGTCCAAGTCAAGCCTAGGTGAGTGGTATGGCATCTCTGCCAAACAGAAGAGCATGGTTCTGGGTTCAGCAAGCCAGCTTCACTCACTGTGAGCTAATCTTGACACTAATTCTGCTCTGGTTACTCCCTCTCTAGGTTCCTAGGAATAGAGTTGTTATTTTTTTTTTTATCTTAAAGGCTTGATTTGTAATCCTGGACATAGAGTCAATACTTCCTTACCTGAATCAATCAGGCTGAAACCTACTAGAAGGTCCATAGATAGGCCAAGTAGATCTCCGGAGGTTCCATTTAGTTCTATGGGTCATTCAAAAGTCCCTTAAGGGCTTTTGCAATTAACCAGACCCTTGAAAAGAATACAAAGGAGAAAGTTTTTGCATGAGGATGTCATAGGATCCTAGGTTTAATACTGAAGGGGACATTAGAGGCAAGTGAGTCCAATCCCCTCATTTTACAGATGAGGAGACTGAGGCCCAGAGAAGTTAAAGGATTTGCCATGCCAATATTAAATGTCAAAGGCAAAATCTCACTCCAAATCCAGTGGTCCTTCCACTACACCCTGCTGGATCAGTGTCTTCCTTGAGCCATTCCCACAAGGTTGTGCCTCACAACTGTGGCAGAATTATGTCCTCCTGCTTAGCCTCTGTTTTCTCAGTATAATGCTCTACTCATTACTCCTACTTTGACAGACAACCTCTCATCCCTGAGTCTGGGGGCATTAAAAATCCCTGAGGCTCAATTAAAACTTTTATACACATGTCTTTTTTCTCCTACAATTTGTTTTTGACACAGACCTGAATTACTGGTGGCTAAGAAAACTGGCAAAATCCCACCAGGGAAATCTGGATAATTACTTTTCAGGTTACAGTAAGCTTTGGCCTCACAAGTGGGATGACTCAGTTGACATCTTTAGCTTTCTGGGCTGCCTGAAATCTCCTTAGCGCTTTTTAACCAATCAAGTATGGCTGATTCTTTTCCCACCGACTTGACAACTGGGGCCTGGAAGGCGGCCACCTCCACACAGGGTTGGTGCTGGCTGGATTAGTAGAAATTTTCTCTGGCTCACTGGATGGCTGCTGCAGGGCCTGGAAATAATGTTCTATTCTCTGTCCGGGCAGCTTAATAACAGTCTTTAAAGCAACAGGGGAAAAAAAGACGAAGAGAATAGGAAAAGTCTGTCCGCATTTCTGAATAAAGGCATGATGAAATTAGAATACCATGGTGGTCACGCTAAGTGGCCTTCACTCTTATTTTCAGCTCAGAATGCTTCTCTGAAGAGTCGTTAGCTATTATAAGGAAATAGGCTAGGAGAAATTAGGAGTTCAATCTCTTTGGAGAGACTCCTTTCTTTTTGTTTTTCTTGACAGGAAATCCCTTAGCAACAAATATTGTTTTAGAGAAACCATTGTATTATTAAAACACATGTAGGAAGTTTTTCATATAACAATTTTTCATATTATACAGTTGATGTGGGTTTTGCCAACTTGGGCTCATTCCTAGTGATTTGGCAAGTAGCACTAACCCTCCAGCTGCTCAAATGCCTCCTTGGAATCAACTCTATTCATTTTTAAATCAAGATAGAGAAATGAAAAGGATCTCTGGCTGGTCAGACCTTAGAGCTTATCTGTCTCTTCCAGTCCATCTATTACTACCTGAAAAACTGAATCTCAGAGAGGGGAAAAGACTCCTCCAAAAGCAATGTCCCATCTCGTTAGTGGCAGAACCAGGGTTAGGACTCTGACAATTACAAGAGAAATCACCAGGTGAAAATTAGAAGACCACAGCGGTCTCATTTTGAAAGTGAAGTTGAAGTTGTTTTGGAATTTATAGTGATCTTTCTCTAAGCAAATAAATAGCATTCATTAAGTATGGGACAGCTGTTATAAAATAGGCATTTTTATTATCATTGAGCAGATGATTCCAAATAGCTAAGAAGTAACCAAGTGGCTGTTTCTGTAACTGACTGGGGCTTGATAAACATCTGTTGATATTAATGACTCATATCTGGGAGAGTCACTTCTCCAGGCTGGTTGGCCTTCGGGGACTGTTGCCATTTAGGGAAGGAAAGATCTCAGGATTCTGGATTTAGGTCTGGAAGGGACAGCTAGTTCAAGCTCCCTGTCTCCTACCCCACCTTCTCATTTTAGAGGTGAGGAAAATGAAGCTAAGCCAGAGAGAGTAAATCACTTGCCAAGGTAGCACATGTAGCAAGCAATAGGGCTGAAATTTGAACTCAGGTCCTCCCTCCAAATCCAGTGCTCTTAGCATCCCATCAGACTTTTATTATCCAGAAGGATTTCTTGCCGTTGCTGATACACACAGCAAAAGGAAAACTCTTTCCTGGAGTGTCCTCCTTGCTACTTTCTTATAGGCTCATTTATAAGATCATTGGATTTAGAGTTAGAAGACAGGGTGATCTGATCCAACCCCTGCATCTTATAGATAAAGAAACAGACCCAGGCAGGGAGTGTGGCTTGCACCCCCCAAAGAAACAAAACAAAACAAAACTAGTAAGTAGCTGAGCTGAGATTCAGTCTCAGATTCTCTGACTCAAAATCCAGTTCTCTTTCCACTACCTATCGGTTGTCTTGTTCACTCTTGTCTTCCTGGGGTTGTATAGTCACTAGAATGGCTGCCTCCTCCTTCCCCTTCCCCATGCTTGCTTTATTAGCCTAGAGTTGGACCCCAAACCATTTAGATGTCAAGGCCAAATGGAAATCAAGAATGAATGGGCAACTTCAACTGAAGTTCTGTTCTGTATCTTTTTAAAGACATCTCAAGCTGGAGCACTTCCACCTGACTGCAGCAAGTGTTGCCATGGAGATTTTGGGTACCGAGGCTACCAAGGCCCTCCTGGACCACCTGGCCCCCCTGGAATCCCAGGTAAAGATGAAAAATGGAAACCACTGTTTTATATTCATCTCACCACTGACAGAGCTAGAGGCTGGGACCTACTCTTTGCTCTAATATGTATAGGAATGAAGAAGTCCAGTAGAAAATGGATTGGGCAGAAGGAATCGGCATTGGGAATGGAGAACAAACTCTGTAGCACCTATTGTTGGTACTACTCTTGCGCCACTTATAATTATTTTTGTGGCCAGTCATGTAGGTGGCTTATTTCTCACTAAGATGATAAGCTCTTAGAAGTGAGACCATTTCTTATGCTCATTGTATCTTCCATAATTCTTAGCATCATGCCTTCCATGTCGCAGGTGCTGAATGAAAAAACTGATTTTTTAATTTTTAAAAATTTTATATGGGGCAGCTAGGTTGCCCAGTAGATAGAGCACTGGAGTCAGGAGGACCTGAGTTCAAATCTGACCTCAGACACTTGACATTTACTGGCTGTGTGACCCTGGGCAAATCTCTTAGTTGTGATTGCCTCACCAAAAAATAAAAAAAAATCTTATTTTTGTTGATGTGTTTTATTTTTACATAACATTTTGCTCTCTATATCCCTCCCTCATACTTAGTCCAGAGAGCCATGCCTTGTGATAAAAATTAAAAATAAGAAAAAGAGAGCAGTTCAACAAAATTAAGCTCTCTAACTTCTGTACCTAGTAAGAATAGCCAGCATTTATAAAGCATTTTACAAATATAATCTCATTTTATCCTCACAATGATCCTGGGAAGTGGGTGCTTTTAGTGTCCCCCCTTCACAGATGAGGAAACTGAGGCAGCCAGAGGTTAAGTGACTTACCCAGGGTCACATACCTAGTGGTTCTGAGAGGTCAAATTTAAACTCCGATCTTTCTCACTCTGTGCTGAGCACTCTATTCACTGTGTCACCCTGTTGCCTCAGAGTCCCTAACACATTGACTTCTCACTTCCCACCAACTTTTACTTTCTATTTGTGTGACCTTGTACAAGTCATCTCTTCCCCTCTGGATCTGAGTTTCCTCATATGAAGTGAAGGTTGGACTAGATAACGTCTTAGGTCTTTCCACCTCCAACATTCTCCGTCTACATTTTGGTTTTAAAATGAACCCACTCCTCCCAAACATGCAGGCGAACATACTTAGGACATCAAGGCTGCAAGACATTAGTCATTTGGAGGCTAAGCACTATCTGGGTCTGTGATTATCCTTCTTGCCACACTGTGCTCAGAATGGAATAGTCTAAGTGCATCAACACTATCCAATCCAATCAACATTTATTAAGCATCTATTATGTGCCAAGGACTGTGCAAAGTGCTAGAGATACAATTAATAAAAAGAAAGACAGCGTATGCCCTCAAGGAGCTTACAATCTAGTGGAGGGAGAGAATACACAGAGAAAGGCAGGGGTGAGGTAAGACAGGCCATCAGGGGGTACTCTCTTGTTTCCTAGAGTTGAAATCAGGCAGGGCCCCAGATGCACAGTGGGGTGCTCCTACTTAAAGGGCTTATTTCCTTAGCATCCGAGAACACTCTTTTAGTTTATGTTCTTGTCTAGTTACTGGTTATCTGGGGACTCCAGTCTATTGTATGAGCTACATAAGTTCTGCTACTGTGGATATTTACTACAATGTATTGCCCGCTAGTAGATCGATGTGCTTTTAAATGTCTCTCCCACCAAAGGGGGAGGAGGCTGAAATTCTATAATCCAAAAGACATTAGGAGTGGAAGGGGTGGAGTGGGGTGGGAGGCTAATTTCTTTTCATCTTTTCAATACCATCACCAACCAATACTTTGTGTGGAGGCATTGGGATCAAAGATTTTTGAGCTGAAAGGAACTTAGAAGTCATTTTAGTCCAACTCCATTGTTCTATTAGGTGGGGTAGTAGTTAAGAGCATGGGACTTGAGCCTGGAAGATCTGAGTTCAAATCTGATCTCAGACATTTACTAGCTGTGTGACTTTGGGCAAGTCATTTAACCACTCTCATCCTTAGTTTATTCAGCTGTAAAATGGGGATAACAATATACTTACCTCCCAGGTTAAACGCTGATTGTTATTATTATCATTCAGAGACAAAACCTGAGATTCAGAAAGAGAGAGAGAGAGGAAGGGAATTGCCTTAGGTCACATAGGTAGTTAGGTGGCAGAGTTATGATTTGAACGTAGGTTTTCTGATGCCAGTTCCAGTAACCAGTTTACTGTAACAAATACAGCCCCTTGTTTAGTCATTCTTAGTCATCTTTCATGATTCCATTTGGGGTTTTCTTGGCAAAGGAGAGGTTTGCCATTTCCTTTTTCAGCTCATTTTACAGATGAAGAAACTGAGGCAAACAAGGTTAAGTGACTTGACCAGGGTCACACAGCTGATAAATGTCTGAGGCCAGATTTGAACTGAGGAAGATGAGTCTTCCTGACTCCACGCCCAGCTCTCTGTGCACTATGGCGCCACCTAGCGGCCTGAGTGTTGCTCACTCCTGTCCAAAGTCCCATCATCCTCCCAATGCAGTCATCCTGCACCACAGGTACATAATTCCCTAAGGGCTGGAGTCTTGGGAACTTCAATCAGATTAGTTCTTGAGACCCAGAGTCTAATAGGAAATAGAGTTATTTTCCTAATAGGTACCCCATTATGATTAAGTGGGCGTTTCCTCCTTTACTGAAAGTTTCATTTTAGAAACTTTTTGTCATTGGCCATATGGATGTAGCACCTACTGAATTCATTCTCTGAATAACTTGGACACTGTTACCCTATATTACTTAGAAAGATGGAAACAAGGTTAAGGTGTAACTCCAAAATACAAGAGAATATCTACTCAATTCAACAACCATTTGTCAGTTTTTTTAAATTTTTTTTTAATGTTCAAGGCAGCCATAAAGTGGAGGGAAAAAAAAAACCCAGTGGCTGGATGGCTTCTAGTCTTGGCCTCATCAGTTACATGTTCTGTGACTGCCTGTACCCCATCTGAAGAACTGAAGGGTGGGACAAGATATTACTATAATTATAGATTTAGATTTAGAAGGGAACTTAGAGCCCATTTAATGTTTTGTAATCCACTTTCCCTCTTTTCCCACTTGTGATTTATGTATATAAGCTTTGCCTTGATTCCAGCATGTGGAGCTCTCCTCAGGAGAACTTCAAAAGGTCTGCAGACGACATTCCCCACTCTGAAAATAATTAATTAAACTATTACTTGTTTCCTGGCACTCCTGTCTCTGGCCTGCTTTGTGTAGCTCTGGCTATTCACAGATTAGACACTGGTCCTGTCCAGACTATGTTAATACAAGCAATTCTATAAACCTGTTTTGTAGGGATAGTGTGAGTTCTTGGACTGGCTGTTCATAGTGTTTAGTTTTTTTTTTCCCTCAACAGTGGATTCAGTTCTTAGCCCCAGATGGTTTCTTGACATTTTAGTTCTTGATGAGGTTTAGCAACATAGAATTAAAGGGGAACGACATTTGTAATAGAAAGATCAATTTTAAAACGTTAACATGCTCTTTGTTGGAGCTGTTTTGAGAGTCGCTTGGTATTTTAATTTCTGACATTTTGATGGAGAAATTGCACCTTGCCTGTTGGTTTCATTAAGGAAAGAAGACCCATGAGCTTGAAAATGAGTGACAACTTGGCAAGTACAAATACTCTCAAATGTTGTCTGGTTATTTTAAGGAAATCATGGAAATAATGGCAATAATGGAGCCACTGGCCATGATGGGGCAAAAGGTGAGAAAGGAGACAAAGGAGACCTGGGTCCTCGAGGAGAGAGAGGGCAGCACGGCCCTAAAGGAGAGAAGGGCTATCCTGGGATTCCTCCTGAATTGCAGGTAGGTGGCCTGTAAGAATCTGATAAGGTCTGGGCTGTACCATTCAGTGGCAAGAATGCTGGAGGAGGAATTAGGAACCCTGTGTTCCCTCAAGTCAGTCTACCCCTGCTCCTGAAAAGCGGGGTATATGGGGCTTTTCCTCTCCAAGGATCAGAGCTTTTCTGAAATTCTGCCTAGTGTGTCTATAGTGTGCTCTCAGTAAATGTTTGTTGATTGAGTGATTGATATCATATGGCTACCAGGACAAAATGCTCGAAATGTACCTCCCTCTTTTAATGCAAACAAAGATTACATTAACATTTTTTGGTTAGCATGTCCCACTGTTGACTCATATTGAGTTTGCAATGCATTACAAAGTCATAAACAGGCTGGATGACAAGCTTAAGAAGATAACATTTTATAGGGAGACAGGCAAAATCAAGCACATCTTTAAAAAATCAACTGTTCACATAGAGGATAGAGAAGACATAGATGGATGTTAACCAGCTGGTAAAGCTGGATGAGACTTAACAGTGTGATTTAGCAAATAAAGAAGCTGCCTCTATCAAAGACTATTAATAGCAGTGGGATGCCCCTTTGAGCTCTGGGTTTGTGCTGAGGAGTACATGGTGGGAAGTAATTTAGACCCTCACTAAGCATGCTAGGGATGGAAATTTTCAACTCAACTTCTTAGCCAAAGAGTGGGTGAAGAGAGAGGGCCCCTGGGAGTAGGAGGGCAGGGGATGTGGAGCAGAAACAGCTGTGGAAACCTGGCTGGGGGTAGGGGCGGGACAGACACAGCTGTGCAGAGCTGGAGCTGATGTGGCAGTGTTAAATAGCCCAAGATGCTGTCTTCTCTTTTCAGGCCATGGGGAAATGTAGTCAAGACGATGGGGAGAGGCAAAGAGATGATTGCAAAGCTAACTATAATCTCTCTCGCAGTTGGGTGCCAATGGTATTTGCTTCTAAGCATGTTTCTTTATTCTGCTGTAAACTGTGCTATGGAACTCGTTTTACTTCTTAAACTTCTGGAGTGACCCAGGCATGTGTGTTTCCTTGTTTCCATTGGTTTGTGGCATGAGTGTTCAGGGGGACAGATCTGGAAAAGACAAAGATCATACCTCTTCCTAGTGTAGGGCCGAGATCCCAACTTTTGTTAGGCCTGACTAACCCAGTCTTTCTTTAGAGAATCTCTCTCCAATTGGGAGCATTTGTTTCATAGCTACAGTCCCAAGGACAGGATTAATACTAACCTAGGCCTTTTATGAACTCCCTAATGACAATTAGCATTAGAGTTGGGTTAAGGAAGGCAAAATTTTCAGAACATACATGGCAACAGTCCTGCTTGACTCTTGATCACATTCCTTACCTCTGCTTCATAGATTATCGCTTAGGAGTCTGTACTTGTAATGACAAAGTATTATTTGCCATTATCAGAAACACAAATGCAGTATGCAATCTGCAGCTTACTACACAGTGCTTCCTACTCCTCCCTTACACCCCACTTTGCTAAAAGCAGAAACCCTAAGCCTCTGTTATTGTTTTATACAGCTGCTATAGCTACCTTCATGCTGAACTGCCATGGCAAAGGGATTTTTTTTTTGCCACTCTTGTTCTCTGTACAGGAGGTTCAGTTGCTGGAGTCTTTTTGTAAGACTTTTTAACTGACTGCCTATCTTCCCTCCTTCTTTCCTTCCTTCTCTTTTTCCTTCCTTCCTTCCTCTTTTTCTTTCCTCCTTCTTTCTTTTCCTCTCCTCCTCTTTTCCTTCCTTCCTTTTCCTTCCTTCTTCCTTCCTTCCTTCCTTCCTTCCTTCCTTCCTTTTCTGAGGTATAATGCTAACTGACTTTATTCTTTCTTCCTCTACCAGAGATTTCATCAGTATAAGGAGCTCCCATGTGAGTAAACTTTTTCTGCCAATGCATATTGGCGATTTCTAGTCTTTGGGAGTTTCCTGGGAGCACTGAGTTAAATGACTTACCCAGAGTAACACAGCCAGTCTATGTCAGCAGCAGGACTTGAACCTAAGTCTTCCTGACTCCAAAGATATTAAACTCTTTTCCCACTGAACCATACTGTTTAATCATCTGGACTAACCTGCCTTTGCTTATTAATGTATTCTTTCCAGAGCCTCCAACCAAAAGAAGATGCCCTTAGCAGTTGGCTGTGAGAGGGTCTGAGGGTAGAAATCCAACTATTAGCTACTTTGCAGTTCTGCCTACCTCTTTTCTCTTTTTTCCTATTGAACAAACTCCAGATACCACTTCCCATCTTGATGCTTCCCTACACTGACATCCTCTCAGTCCAGGCCTTCTCATTTCAAGTCCAACAACTTATGCCATTCAGCCACATTGCCTCAGTCAAGCGTATTCTATTCAACTGAATGCCTTTCAGAAGTCATTTAATTCTCTGAAACAGGGAATTCATTACCTTTTTGTGTGTCACAGACCCTTTTCCACAAATGGGTGAAGCCTAAGGATCTCTTCTCACAATAATGTTTTTGAATACATTAAAAATACCTAGGATTGTAAAGGAAACCAATTATAATGAAGTTATATTTTTTTTTAAATTCCAGACACTAGGATAATAAACTTTGATCTAAGAGGAGTCTTTTTAAACTCATTTTAGGAAAACCTTTTTAATGTCATAACTTTTGCAGAAATACATATTAAAACTACCTAGACAAGGTTGAAATTGGCACTGTATGTAAAATCATTATTTTTCTGGGCCTTTATTCTGGCTTAGAGATTGGTTTACATGGTTACTGTGCTAAAACAGAGCAGGAAAATCGCTTTAGTTTGCTTTAGTTGGCAATGTTGGATAATACAACTGGTGTATTAAAATTATTCCTTATGATTACCTTTGATCAAGTTATTTAACTTATTAGAAATATGGCAGTTACTGAACTTCTATATTTCCATAAAAACAGTATTTACATGATTGTGATCTATTATAGCACTCAATGATGCCCTAGTAGTAAACTCTTAGACCTCATGTGATGTTTTGCTCATCTCTGATGTACTACTAATCATACATTATTTTATATCATAGTTATCATTATGTTGGTATTTTAGCTCCTGATAACCTATGATCTCCCTGAAAGAGATTGTTTCTAAACTTTGTATTTCCCCCAGAGTCAAGCCTGACACCTATCTAGAGTGTATCTAACTCAGAGGGCATGCAGTAAATATTTTTTGATAGGAAAAAAATACCAAACCTTCCTGTTAAACTTGGAATCATTGGACCTGGGTTCAACTTCAGGCTCTGCCACTCACTCCTTGGGTGACCTTAGATAAATTGCTTAACCTCTGTAGGCCCTAATCTCCTCATCTGTGGGATAGGAAGTTGGACTTGAGGTAGTATGGGCTCCTGAATACAATGCTGGAATTGGAGTAAAAACGACCCTGATTGAAATCCTGTCTCAGGCACTACCTGTGAGCTATGTGTCTGTCACTTAACTGCTCTGTGCCTCAGTTGCCTCTTCTGTACAATTAGCGGATTTGGACTCCATGGCCTCTAAGTTGTCCTGGTTCTAAATCTATGCTCTTCTTAATTGAACAGCAGAAGAGAAGAACTGAGATGTGGTTGGGCCTGGCTCCTTTTCATGTTCTTCATTTACCCATACTTTAACCAAGGCTATTTCCACAGATTGCCTTCATGGCATCCATGGCTACTCACTTCAGCAACCAAAACAGTGGAATCATCTTCAGTAGTGTGGAAACCAACATTGGAAATTTCTTTGATGTCATGACTGGAAGATTTGGGGCCCCAGTGACAGGTGAGTGGATTCTGTCTTGCTTTTTAAAAGTCAGTGAGAGAGGAAGGAATTCTTTATCTCAAATAGGCAAAAAAGTAGTTTATTAATGATTTTTTGATATATAGAACATAGAGGAATTTGGAGCTATTAAACCATAGAAACAATCCCAGAATTTGAGTGGGAAAGGGGACATTTAAGGTGACATCTAGGCCAACTCATGGCCCAAGAGGAATATACTCTATAGCAGAGGTGTCAAACACCTAGTACTCCTGAGTCTGGCAGAACCAGATTAAAGTGTAATTGAGAAACATTAAATATTAACAAAACAAAAAATGCAATAGAACACAAATAATATTAATATGTGGTTTTCTAAGTCAATATGTGGCTTCAGGGATCCTTATACAGTTTAGTGGTCCTGATTCTATTTGAGTTTGATACCAATGGTCCAGGGGTTGGGAATCTGTGGCCTTGAGGCCATACGTGGCTGTCTAGGTCCTCAAGTGTGGCCTTTTTTACTGACTCCAAACTTCACAGAACAAATCCTCTTAATAAAAGGATTTATTTTATAAAATTTGGACTCAGTCAAAAGGCCGCACCCAAGGGCCTAGAAAGCCACATGTGACCTCGAGGCCACAGGTTCCCCACCCCTGACCTAGTCTCTATTGTCTCTGACAAGTAAATGGTCATCCAGCCTCTTCTTGAAATCCTCTAATGAGGGGGAGCCTATTACTTCTTAAGGAGGCCCATTCCAAAGATATCCAGTCCTCAACCTTCCTCACAAAGGAGAAGCCCTCCCTCTACCAAAGAGATGGGAAGCCAGTAGTGAATAGCCTTTAATTTCCTCCAAACCTATCAAAGCTATGAAGTAAGTCGTCTCTTTCTTTTTTCTTCCCCTCCCCCATTACACTAGTGTTTATTTTTTCCCTCCTTGAGAATGCAGTTTTGCTTCTCTACTCAAGAACTTTCAACAACTCCTTATTGTCTATTTAAGCCTGCAGAGTGGACACCTCATCGCCCTGAAGTATACTTCCATTCCTCTCAGCATATCCAAGACAAGTCTAATGTCCCTGTCCACCCACCTTACCCCTTGTTCCAGGCACAAAAAAATGTTTATCAATGGCAGGGATCACAAGAGATTCAATTCAATTACACTAAAGAAGCATTTATTACATGCCATTATCAGTCACATAGCCATCATCACTCTTTCAATCTTATTCAGCCCTTTAAAAAGCCTGCAGAGCTATCCACTGTCTTTTTTAGATGTGTGCTTCCTTCCACCCTTACAAAGCCATCCAATGAGCTCCAGGCTGCTAAGGTAACATGGGTAACCTTGGAGCGTGGCTGACTCAAAAATTCTTCTCCCTTTCCCTCTGCCCACTGCAGCCTGTGCACTGACATATGCACAGGTGTTAAGAGATTCCCCCCCAACCTCAAAGGTATGCTTTTATTTTCTTCTTAGTTCACTAGAAGGATTCTAGAGTCCAGCTCTTACAATGTTTCTGTTCATTTTTAATTAATGACATGGAATTAAAGGAAGCCTTAGGCTCTTTGAAGAAAAACCAGTCCTTTGGTGCATTTTTAGACCATTTTGAAAAGACAGGGATTTAGATTTACAGTTGTTGTCGTTCAGTTGTGTCTGACTGTTCGTGACCCCATTTGGGTTTTCCTGGCTGAGATCCTGGAGTGGTTTGCCATTTCCTTCTCCAGCTCATTTTACAGTTGAGGAACTGAGAAAACCAGGGTTAAGTGACTTGCCCAGGATCACACAGCTAGTAAGTGCCTGAGGTCAGATTTGAATTCAGAAAGATGAGTCTTCCTGAGTCCAGGCCCATCACTCTATCCACTGTGTCACCTGGCTGCGCAGAATTGGTAACAGCACTCTATTATTTGATCTACTGTGAGCACCTCATTGATGGTGTGTAGTTTCACACCTTTCCAATTCACAACAAGAAAACATACCAACAATATTTCTTGCAAGTTTATTTATAGATTGTTGCTAGTGAGGATTTTAGAGCCCATTTCCAGATGAAGAAACTGAGGTCCAGGATGATGATTTGCCCAGAGTCACAGAGGATCCTTGGACTCTAAACCCTGCACATTCCACTGTTTCAGGACTCCTTGTTCTAGTCTAAAGACCTACAGAGCCTTAAATCATCCAGTCTCCCATTATCAAGCAATTCCTAAGTGTTTGTCAGGCCATGAGATCTCTATCACCAGGCTCAAGGCAGTTCACTTTGCTCACTCTGAGAAAGACTCAGTTGATCAGAAGCATCAATTCTGCAAAAGATGTTGGGGCAGGAGTTTGTTTGAAAATGCCAACATTTACCTCGGAATGAGTATGACACTACAATAAAATAGAGTTCTACTCTTTTCTCCTCAAATGAGTCAGGGTCTACAGTGAATAATTAAAAGAGAGGAATTGACTAGTTAAGCAGAAAACAAAACTACCCTAAGGAGGATTCCCCCGCCCCAATATCTAACCTTTTCTATTCCCAAGGAGAATAGTCTTGAAGAACAAGTGGAAGAACAACAGTCAATCAATAAGCATTTTTTAAGTACCTACTATGTACTGGCCCAGACACAGCTGTGCTAAGCTCTGTGGGTACAAAAAAAGGTAAAAAATGGTCCCTGCTCCAAAGGAGCTCACAGTCCAATGGGGGAAACAATATGCAAATGATTATGGACAGATAAGCTACAGACAGGATAAACTGGAAATAATCAACATAGGAAAGGCACTAGAAGTAAGAGGATTGTAGGAAAAAACTCCCTGTAGAAGGTGGCAATGGAGTCTTTGCTCAAAAGATCTTACAATTTTTCCTTGATATTTTTCTAGTAAGCAATAGCAATTGATTCACTAAAAGAAAGAATGGCATTTTGCAGTTACAAAATTCTCTAAGAGCTATTTTTTCCTTCCGTTTTGTTTTGTTTCTTCTTTCTTGTGGTTCCTCCTATTGGTTCTAATCCTTCCTTACAATATGACTAATGTGAAACTATATTTAATAGGAATGTATATGTATAGCCTATATGATTGCTTGCCATCTTGGGGAGGGAGGGGGAGAAAAATTTAAAACTCATAAACTTATGGAAGTGATTGTTGGTAAATCAAAATAAATTAATAAAAAAAATTTTTAAACGTACAAAATTCCCCAAGAGCAAACATGTCCTTATAAACTTTATAAACAAGAGACTAGAACTGTAGAGGCCAGGCATCATGAATGTATTGCAGCAGTCAAGGTTTCACTGGCCTTCATAAAACTAAGCAGTTTGGAGAGGAAGGCAGAAAACATAGATAAACAGACATTAAACACATTCCTTTTCCTTATGGATCTTATAATTAAACAGGGGGGTCCACAAGTACACATGTGAATAAATGACTCATGGACATTTATAAAGCCATCTAAGGGTGACAATAAGCCTTTAAAAAGGGACCTGCTAGACACTGGTTCTCTCTACCTAGGTCTAACATGGAAATCCAATGAGACCAGTATGGGAACCTTAAGCATGTCTCTTGTTCATGCCTGATTCAAGTATCTTACATTTGCTATCTTTAATTGTTTTTCTTTTCTTATCATAAACTTGTCAAACCCTGAAAATAAATGACCAAAGAGACACAGAGGTTATACACCAATTGTTAACTCTGAAAACACCAAAGAACTCACAGAGGTTGGACAACAACTGCTAACTCTAAAAAATAAAATAAAACCAGAGGTCACAGAGCTTACAGACAAAAAACCTTCTTTATTTCACTGGAGGAGGGGAAATTAGACAAGCATGCAGCTAAGACCAAGGAGACATCAAGGCAGCAAGGCTAAGCCTTGATACATATAGTTGTGGCTACACAAAGAACCAAGCAGTGAGGTATAACAGCAATAATGAGGCATATTTGCCTAGTGACAGAGAGACTATTCATATCAGGGCTTCATGACTGGGTTTCTGCAGGTGCTTGTCCAAACTCAGGGACCACCTGGGGCTGGTTTGAACCAATTCTGTGATTTAGCTGCAGCAGAATTCATCCAGAGGGTGAGCACAAAGGGTTGTTGTTATGCCAAGCTCAGGGCACAGCTTGCTTGCTGGTCCTTAGCTCTGGAAAACAAGGTGTCTCCTAATAGTGAGAAAAGAGAAGCGGTCTTAGAGTGGGGTCCTGACAAACTTAACAATGATAAATAAACACAAAGATTTCAATATACATAGAAGAACAAAAGAGAGGATTGTTGAAACCATAAATGTCTATAACATGATGTAGGTAGGTGGCTCAATGGATAGAGCACTATCCGTAGCGTGAGGGGGACCTTAGTTCAAATCTGGCCTTAGACACTCACTAGCTGTGTGACTCTGGATAAGTCACAACTTCTGGTTGCCTTAATCCACTGGAGAAGGAAATGGCAAACCACTCCAGTATCTTTGCCAAGAAAATCCCATGGACAGTATGGCTCACCAGGCAGTGAAGAATCAGACATGACTGAACAATAACACAATATTAAATTTAACAAGATAGTAATAAAATTGCCCTGTTTATGTCCCCTTCTGAACTTTTTGTTTTCATCTGTGTAATTTTTTTTTAAAATCCTCAATTTTTTTTCTCTTTTTTTCACCATCTTTATCACTTTCTGTGGCATCTTTTCCAGGGGTCTATTTCTTTACGTTCAGCATGATGAAGCATGAAGATGTGGAAGAAGTGTATGTGTACCTGATGCACAATGGTAACACGGTCTTCAGCATGTACAGGTACCTAGCTTTTCTTATTAAGGTCCTCAAATGTCTTCCTGTTTGATATATGTGGTTAGAGGC